GAGTGACCACAGAAAACAGCGGATGGGTATCATATGATAGAGCAAAGCAAGCTCTAAAAGATAGTTTACAAATCTCCGCGGAAATCTTGCTCTACTTGAACTGCGAATACAAAATATAAAAAACTTCAGATGTCCGAAAAATCATATCTCCGTCCATAAACGTTTTAGGGACTCCATTTACAGACATGTACTCTCCACAATTGAAGGCAGGTCTAGGCTAAACCTAACCCCCTCCCATTAGTGTCGATCCTGAACGTAGGTCCCAGAAAAGGTATCTGCGTTGGCCGGTCTTCTAACGTTGTCTCTGAATGGAGATAAGGGGCCTGGAAGTTCTTGGCTGGGTGGAGTCAAATATCAGACTCCGCCCAGCCAGGGTCTGCCTCTCGACACGTACTGATATGGCAGTGAGAAGAAGCTGTACACTGCTGCAACTGCACCCATGCAGTTGCAGCTCCTCCCGCTGACATGCCGACGAGGACGAGCGATTCGAAACTCGCCCGCGCCCTCAAGACAGGATCCCAGGAATCGGGTTTTTTGTGAATTTTGGAGAGTTTGAAGTTCGGAACTGTAATCAGGGCCATGTAGAGGCCCCAGAATGAAGAAAACATGGGGAGCCAAATGTTGGGTGGACGCTGCCTTCAACATTCACCTGTGCAGTTTGTGTTATTTTTCCATGGCTACAGTACAACAAACAAAATCAGGTCCAAAGTGCGAGTATGCCACGTTTTTCGGTTTTTTGCAAACATACTGGTTTTTCTCGAAAACTATAGCTTGTCTAAAGCTGAAAACTCATGCTTAGGCTCCCAAAGGCTCGTACTACGGAATCGCCTATTTGAGGAACCAAGAATTGCTCTAACAAAAAAAAAATGCCGAATTTCTTTTTCTCAATTTCCAGCCATGGAAAAACCATAAAAATGTTCGTACGAGCGTCTGGTATAGTGAATCCATACGTGAGCAAGTTAGGGGTTGCCAGAACTTTTCTGAACGGAAATACGATTTTTTTTCGTTTTCTTAGATCTTTAGTGACTTACTAGCGCGAAGGTTCGAGTTTCATTTTGTAGTGCTTGCTTCAATCTATCGGATAACACCTCATTTACTTACTTCTCACCTGCTGCGATATGCATGATAAAACACAATGCGACATTGTTTGTTGGACAACCAAATATATGAGCTCTCCAGCTTTCTTAGCGCCTGAGGAATTTCTGCACTAACAGGCCGAATTTTGAGTCGACCTCTTTCCTACCGTGCATGCTGATGGCCCAAGATGAAGTGCTGAGGATTTAACTACAAAATGGGCATACCTCGTAGACAATATAGCCTTTGAAGCAAAATTTGTAGGTCTCAAAAGGGAGCGGTCTATTTGAAGTTACAGCAGTTTGAAAAAAATTCCCAAGTGCCCGGGAACTTTCTTTACAACCTAAAATGAGATACGAGTAAATTTTTGGATAAGATACAATAGCAAATGCGCAGAAATGTGCATAGCTAAGAATTCCAGTCCTAGTAGTCCCAGTAAAGAGTGCTGCCTAGGCACTAGTATGCCTTTGCAAATTCAGTCCTTCATTTGGCTAATGTTTCCGCATGAGGAACAAATCAGGGTCGGTAGTAAACTTATCGGAACTCAGTTAGTGAGTTCCGATAAGTTTACTACCGACCCTGATTTGTTGAGTTAGTTGTGACTAGAGTTATGACCTGAAGTTATGCAGAATTAACTCTGAGTTATCTCTGTGGTAATGCACTCCTTTTTGATCCCCTTCACAGATGCTTGAACAGACCAAATCTGGAAAGTGATGATATGGCAGGATACTCCGTCACCAGTAGTTTATTCCTGATAGCGCAACATCGTCCAAATCGTTCTGCACATGAAACAGCGCTACCAAACGCGCAACTGAGCTCTGCGATGACTCTGAGTTTGGTGCGCGTTCCAGTCTATCGTAGAACTCATAGATAACTCTGGTTTGGTCAGAGAAAGAAAAATAGTGCACAAAAGAAGAGGGGCAGCTAAGGCTGCGTTCAGACTGATTTCGAAATCCGGGAATAGTTTTAGCACAGCGCTCATTTCAAGCGCTGTGCTGGAAATGTTCCCGGACTTCGAGATCAGTATGAACGCAGCCTAAGTCCTCCGCAGTATTTTGCTCGTAGTTTCAGCAGGAATGATGAGGGTATCGTGGTGCGACTCTGCAAAATTTTCTAATTTGTAAAACTTGACCCAGGGGGTATTCGGTGCGCTAATCACGAATATGGTGCTCATTTTCACCCTGAACTCATTACGGTACATTTACGGTAGACAGGGGAAAATTGGCCAAAACTAGTGGAACGTGGAATGAAATTGAAATTGAAATTCGGAGCGCTCACAAATTTTGCATGCAATTCAAACTGCGCTGACATCTGCCAAGGTTACGGTAGGTTACGGTAGACGGAGAAAATCACGAAACATCGGAACTTGGTACACCGGGGTTATTCGGGGCGCTGGTCACAAATATGGTATGCATTTCTGGCTCGGGTACATATAGCGTAGTGTAGGTAGCTACAGTAGAAAACCACAAGAATAGTCGAAACTTCGACCATTTATTCCGGGCGCTGATTACCCACAGTTTATATGCTCGTACACTGGTGTCAATTTCAGCGATTACGGTAAGCATACAAGTGGGCTAAAGCATAGGGTAAATTTTGCGCAGAGGGTTTGATTTGTGCGCAGACCCTTATAGTCCGTTCTTATCATTGAGTATGCCATCATCTCTCTTTGAAGCTTTCACATCGCGTGGTCCAATTCAGATACGCATCTTTTCTTTACAAATTTTCAAACGGGCTATACCGAAAAATTCAAGACTATTGCAGCCTTTTTACCCGGTTTAACATTCTACTGCTTATGCTGTGCAGATTATCTCCTTCTTTTCTCTAACTTCTTCATAAACAAGCTTCAATTATCAAAAAGAAAAACAAAGTTATCTCTTCTGGGCTTTGGAAAGCATGTCTTTTTTCCAACGAAACATTAATTTTCAACGATTTCATTTTAATCACATGAAAATGTATTGATATTTGTTCTTACATGAAGCAGCATTGAACAATCTTAGTTATCGAATGATATTGCTGAGACTAACGACATATGTTTACTGAATACATACGGCAGCCTTTTGAATATAAACAATAGCACTCTGGAGTTTTTTACTGTTTGTATGGTCTTCACCCTTTAGCTCAGTCTCTATCGTTGATGTAAACAATGGATATATCACATTTCCTAGTGTCCGCAACCATTTCGTTAAATACGTCACGTATTCTCTTAACTGTTCATTTCCTCATAGTATCTCAAACTATCATGTAATAGTCAAATACTTTTTTTACAATTAAAGAGAACTGCGGAATAATCATCGAATGCACACATTTTCCTCTTAGTTGTACATTGGCAAAGATCATTTTCAGATTTCTCATTCCTTACATTCTTCCAAACAGGATTTCTGTCGCTGGAAAATGTAGTATCAATAGTTTTGTTTCGCAGTGTGCCCCCGCTTTTACTATTATAATCAATCGTGAACAGCTTTGTTCGGTGTTTGTTTAGGGTAGTAGCCAGGTTTAAGCGTGGTGCCCGGAGTGCCCACCTGGAGGTCGTGTAGAGTGGTTAGGGAAAGGAGGAATCATAATCAGGGTATAGCGCGGGGTGTGGCACGTCACGCCTTGGGGGCGCCTGGGAGGTCGTACCGAAAAGTCAGAAACAGGAGGGGGTCGTCGAATACCGATAATAGCGATAATGATAGCCACGTAATAGCCACATAACATGATATTGGTAAACAGTATGTCAGATTATCCAAGTAAGTGAGCTACAAGCACATGAGATATTAACTTGTCATTATCCCTACCGTAGCATAATGACACATCTCTCCATTGAAAATAGAAAATCTTATACCATCTAAGGGAGAGGGGTCAGCGTGGCAGCAACAAATCACGCAGAAAAAATCCCAACCACCAAGCATAGTGAGTGATATATGCATAATTAACATGTCAAAAACTCCTGTGGACCAAGTTTGAGCGAATTTGAAGTCTGCAAATAATATGCCACCTGATGATGTGGTCATCAATTTCGAACACGATTAACTTGTTTCAAAAGCGAACTAGCTACCTCTTTTTGCACCCATAGAAAGCACTACTTCTTCTTTGCCCATCTCATAAATCCTGCTTAAACAAATCGCCAAATTGTGGAGTTAAAAGCGAACCAAAATTTCGTTTTTCCCATTTATTCATTCCAAATACTCACACTAGGAAAAACCAATCACGAGATCTAGACTACCAAATATCTATAGGGCATTCGAAAAATCGTTACGAAGGCGCGACCGCGCGCGACATGCACGCACCTTCCGGCAACCGCGACCTCTTGGTTTTAATTTGTACTCAACTGGTTTTTCTGCTTAAGGTATGATAGTACTTGGACTCTGAAAGTGACTGAGCTGGGCGTTCAGGTGATGCCTTTTTGTATAAGGGTGTTATGCTCCTGTGGGCGCAAAGACCGCAGTCAAACTCGTCGTCACGATTTCATAAATGAACCTTATATTGTGCCGCCTTCCCTTGCGATTCACGTAGTAGAGCATACAAAGCATGTTACCGTGATCCAATATTTTCGCAGTATTTTCCTATTTGCATAGGTAAGGAACAACTTTTCTATTTTTCCTTAGAACAAACGATTGACTATTTTGTAAATGTCGCATGCTACGAATCTATCGTTCGATTATTGAGCAAAAAGCACAGAAAGCAGAGGTTGCAACGACAATAGATACTAATGGAGACAAACCAACTGATCAGTAAATCAAAACCAAGAAATTGCAAGAAATTTTTGCATCTAGGCGCGGATTCTATACTGAGACATCACTTACTCTCCATCAACTAGTTGAGCGGAACGGTAGATAAAGATTACATATCCGATCTTCAGAACAGAAAAGTGACTATTTACTACTGATTTGCTTAGTAGGCGAATGGGATTAATGGGATTCCTACATGTGTACATAATCTTTCTTATGATTCATGGATGCATTACCGTTGGCTACTCAAAGAAGTTGCCAAATGTATCTACATTCGTCTATCCGACGGCATATCGAGACGAGACGATAATAGACGACTATCATGGCATAAAGGTAATTTTTTTCTAAAGGAAGTCTGCGCTACGAAAAAATTCAGGTTGCTGACCCTTATCGCTGGCTGGAAAGATTAGATACACTAGAGACTCAACAGTACATGAATGAGCTGAATGCTGTCTCCGAACCGTTTCTTGCAGAAGCTCCTAATAGAGAACAAATAAGAAAAAAGTGATTGTACTTACATTTCCTGCACATAAGCGAAACATTTCAAATCATTTCCGGTACATAAGCATAACATTTCAGACTGAATGAGCTAAATGACTATGAAAGATTTACTTCTTTGGGCAAGAAAGGCGACTTCTACTACTACCGACACAACAAAGGACTACAAAACCAAGAGTAAGTTTGTGAGGGCTTTGCATAACTTTCCGTAGTCACTTGAGAATTCAATTGAGCGCGAAGATGGGGGTAGGGGAACGAAAGCCGCCAGCTTTGGTTGGCTGCGCGAACTGCTGGTCCTGGAACGACATGCAACAACGTTGCGAAAGGACCAGTTAGCCGCGAAAGGCGGCTCAAACTGGCGGCTTTCGTTTCCCTACCCCGAAGATGGGATTTTCTTTGTTTTTACTGATGACAACCAAGTGCCAGATCTGGTTGTATGCAAACCAAAACTTTCCCCGAAAATTAAAGGCGCAAGTGCACTGACCTATCAACAACAACAAACAGTAGTCAGTGAGTTCGAACTTCATAGATAATAAAACCTGCTTTGAGTTAAAGACGAATGCCAATTTGTAATAAAAATTGCCGAGAACTGTTTTGTTTTCCGTCACATTATACTTACACCTCCCTTTCAGATAATCGCCAGGGGCAGGTGGTCCACAAACTCGCGCTTTTCTGCAAGCGATCAGCAAAATTTTGGGGCGTAGCCAAGCCTTCAGCGAGCGGTACTTCCGTGTTCTGCCAGCCGGCAGCAATACAAAATTTTCTGCGGGCGCTCGTCAAATAATCTCTTTCAGCGAGCGCTGACCAAACTTTCAGCAAGCGCTCGGACTCTTTGTACGCAATTTCGTGCTAACGCCGAGCAAAGGTGAGACGCTCTATGTGAAGAGGTATCATCGGTGGTTTGGTTACCCGAGTTTGTGTACCTTCTTTCAGTGGAAGGTATCTATGAGCTGTGCGGTCCTTCATAAAGGACCCCAACACTTTTGCAAATGCTCGCGGAAAGTGCGCGAGAATGCAGCCACTGCGCCGCTGCTAATCTCTAAAAAACTCCGATAGTTTCTCGAATCGTCTGAAAGTTAGCCGACATTCTCCCAAATTCGTGAAAGCGGATCGCCAAATAACAGCGAACTATTTTTCCGGTGCCTAATTGCCCAAAAACAGCATGACCGCCTGCCCCCGACAATTATCTGAGCTATCTGGGTCAAATGAAGGAAAGTATATTATTGCATTTGTCTTTGAAGGTCGTGTCTTGGCAGAATGAAGTTGCCGTAAAAAATGACCGCTTGTGGTAGAAATTCTGCCCGTTGGCTTGCCGACCAGTACGCACTAAATTCTCCGCTCTACCTGCAGAGAAGACCAATCTGAACGACGAGCGTATTTGAGGGACGCACCAACTTTAGTGAGACTTAGTGAGCAAGTCTGCATGGGGCCACCACCAAGCTCGCGCAATTTCCAGGCCGTTGTAAAAAAATTACATGCAGCAGACTTTTTGTACGAAGAATTCCACTTCCCACCGAACTCTTGTCAAGCTCTCATTCTATTTAAACTGAGAAATGGCTTAATGTCAGTTTTTTCACACGATCTGGAGCCGGTGTAAGGGTTTCAGCGCGACCCAAAAGGCCCAGGAATTGCGGAAAGTGAGTGGGGAAGACGATGAAGCTGCTTTCTTTCAGGGGCGTTTTTTGTATTTAATATGCAGGTAGTACACATCTCAGAAATTGATTGAAATAAGTATTGACCATAGCCATCAGTGATTTTAACCCTTATTAATAAGCCAAATGCTTGTCACTCTCATTTGCAGCCATTGCAGTGAACAAAAGACTACTTAAAGTACAATACCGCTCTCAGAACGTGCAAAATTTCCGTGAATGTCGCGGAAACCCCGGAATTCCGCGAAGGACCGCGAAATTTCCGGAATTTCGCGACATTCCGGGAATTTCGCGGAATTGTCGGAATATCGCCATAACTTCCTTCGGAATGCATAAATTCTGGATCTGAAACAAGGGTTATACTCAGCTCATTAAGGCGAATCTTTTGGTACCTTGCCTTACCGTAATTGTCGGGGCACGATTGGTGCACGGTCTGAGATGAATTTTGCATTTTGGGAGAGGGGAGGTGAACACAATATTCGTGTCCTGTACTCGAATCCACCCCTTCTAGTAATAAATAGGTGCTTGGAGCTACTAAATAAACAGAAGAGGGGAAAAACAACATCGACGGCATCATCACGGCATGTTCGCATATTTTAGAACTAACCACACCCAATACCACTGATTACTCCCCCACCCCCCTCCCTAGAATTTCAGAAAAATCGCAAAAGGATTCACTTGCTGCCGTACATCCACGTCCTCTCTCCCAAAATGCAAAATTCATCTCAGACCGTGCACCAATCGTGCCCCGACAATTACGGTAAGGCAAGGTACCAAAAGATTCGCCTTAATGAGCTGAGTATAACCCTTGTTTCAGATCCAGAATTTATGCATTCCGAAGGAAGTTATGGCGATATTCCGAAAATTCCGCGAAATTCCCGGAATGTCGCGAAATTCCGAAAATGTCGCGATATTCCGAAAATTTCGCGACATTCCCGGAATGTCGCGAAATTCCGGAAATTTCGCGGTCCTTCGCGGAATTCCGGGGTTTCCGCGACATTCACGGAAATTTTGCACGTTCTGAGAGCGGTATTGTAGCTACACTACATTCTGTTCGTCTCATGTACGCAGAACAATACTGCTCTTGACCTCAGCTTGAGTTTTATAAGAAAAACCATTGCAGTGTTATTTTTCGACAGAAAACCCTTGTAGATGATGGTGACATATTCCTGGACCCAAGTGATCTATCTGCTGATGGCACTGCTTCATTGGGGTTTGTTTTACTCTGTTTTTCTTTCCTCAAACATAGTGATTTAATGCTGCACAGCACTATGTCGTGGAGTATGGATGGCTCCATACTCGCATATGTTGTTAGCGAAAAGGGCAGTGATGTGTCTAGCATCAGGGTAAGATGATTCTCAAGTAGATCTTTCGGCTCCTCTACATCCGGCTTTCAGTTCCGCGACGTTCATAAACATGATCTTGCGGACATTATAGAAAATGTCAAGTTCACATATCCCTCTTGGTTGAAGGACAACTCTGGAATTTTCTACAGCGCCTACCAGAGCAGAGTTCCGTCGCGTTCGAGTATGAATTGAATATTAGAGAATTTTGCAGGGCGTCTCACACTCTTTATCACAAAAAGATGAGAATCAAACAATTTACTTTCACAGGCTTGGGACGGACTCTACAACGGATAAACTTATCTACGGCACTAATTTACCAATAATGTATGTTTCAAGCTTTTGCTATGAAGAATTTTCCAATTTGTCTGTAGTGGCGGATATGTCACGAATGATGGGAAGTATCTTATGATACACATCGGATCCGACGTCTCAAAGAACATATTGTACTACTACGATCTATCCGGTTTCAACATCACTCGAGAAGAAGCGATAAATCCTAGACCGATTTTTGACCAACTCGATGGGAGATATGTGGTAAGTTGGGATCACAAACAAGTACAAAGCATTGGATAAAATAATCGTTGGAAACAGTGCAATTTGTAGTACATTGACCACGACAATGACTCTATGTTGATACTTACAAATAGAGAAGCGCCGAATTACAAAATAATTCGGGTATTTCTAATGAATGGATCAGTTGCGGATGTTGTTCCCGAGGACGAGCTCAGTACTATAGTGGCTGCGTATGCTGTTGCATCAAATCGTTTACTGATACAGTATCTTAAAGATGTAAAGGTGAGTATACGTCGCTTTTGCAAAGTCGATCTTTATTTTGTCATTTAGCATACGCTTCAAGTACACGATCTTCAAAGTGGAACACACTTGCACACGCTATCCTTGATGAAGGGGTCTCGTTTTTATGATTTGCAGTTTCAGACATAGTTTGTCTGGCCTATAGACAGTTTGAAAAAGTAGTTTGCATCAATGACTTGCGATCCAAACAACATACCCTCATCATTTGAAGTGGCTTGAGTCCCTGCGACCGTCTCTTTGGGCTTGCACCACTCTCCGAACGTGTTATCTGACATTTTCCCACTTTTAAACAACGATTAAAACTCGTTTCTGAGCTCTTTCTCACGTTCAGGCATGGGAATATAGTCGGGGTTAAATCAGACTTTGCGTCGTATGTGGTGTACGCGACATACGCAGCTCACACACAAGTGCGTAAAGATAGCATATGTTGCGTACGTCGCACACGTCGGTACTCCGTGCAGTCTGGCCCAACCCTTAGACGACAAATTCCATTCGCGAATGCGGTGCAGGATGAAAGAAAGGCGGACTGGGGCTTGGGTCGCTCGAGTCGGGCTCTCAAATGAGACGGAGGGTTCAGAATTATTAAAACGTTGTTGAGCAACATTATATAGCGCAATCAAAATAACAACGAAGCTCTTTTTAGCGAACGTTATCGCTGCCTTTCATCACCCATTGTGTATTTAGTACCATCGCGGACGTTGTAAGTAAGAAAAGCCAGGACGAGGTGTTTTTTACTCTCGAGACTATGATAACTCCGGCAATTCCTTATCGCATGGAATTTTCCAAAAATATATCGAATCCGAAGTTAGAGAGACTACGACAGGGCGTAGCAAAAGGGACATCAAACGAAGATGAAATCTCCGTGCAGCAGGTGTTCTACAGTAGCAAAGATGGAACAAAGGTAACCACTAATTCAGTAGCATAATTTCTATCTATATATGTTCTCTGCCTAGATTCCTATGTATATAATATCTTCGAGGAATAAGTCAGAAAATGATGATACGCCTGTTCTACTTGAAGGTTATGGTGGTAAGTTGAATCATCAAAGCCTAAACTACCAGCGCACTTTGAAGGGTGTAGAAAGAACTTTTCAATGATTTGCACGAAAGTTCTGCTCCATTCCATCAATGAAAATACCTAACATCTAGCTAGCTCCACCAACATCATTGGAGCCTTTGTAAGGAGAAAAAAGTCATGACTTTGTAACAGCGTCTTAGTAAGTTTTGGGAACTCACAGGAACTCAACTCAACTCACAAGTACAAGCAAAATAAGCTATGATCATTCTAAGTTAGATCGTTAAAGTATTGCAAAAAAGACCTGCGACACCTAAATACTCTACGCTGTTGGGCTGTGATTTGAGTGAACAATACAAAATAGAATACGATTATTTGACATTCTTCGAAAATGTCATTGAATGTTGGCAGAGTGAGTGATGATCAGTTTCAAACAAGAGTAGTTGCATACGATCAGGGCCCGGCACCTAGGGTTCCTCAAAACGAAGTCTCTCCTGACTTTCGGAAGCTTTACGAAGTCCCCTTTGACCTAGCTGCTTAGGATGATGAAAACAAGAAAGATTTACAAGTCTAAAAGAAAAGACGTGAGATAAGAGTGAAAATCCAGTGAATTGGATCTGATTACTACGCATGCACAAGACTTTGACATTAGAGCGCGATATTCAACAAAGCGAGAAAAAATGAAGGCAAAAAACAAAGGAAAAGCAATGATATGAAAATGTCTTTATGCTCAGTGATAGATTTTTGACCGGGGAATCCGTTCATGCTGAAAAAATCCGAAGCTTATGTGAAGTGACGAAAATATATGCTCCAGACGATCTCAGATCGTCTGGTGGCCGTCTGGAGACGATCTAATTTTGGAAAAGGTATTACTTCACATAAGTTTTCAAATCTTTTTACATAAATCTTTCGCAAATAATTTTCTATACATACAGTCCAATTTTGGTGTCATATGATCCTGTGTACGCTGTAAACAAGCAATTTTTTCATTTTAGCCTTGCTTTCAAATCGCGCGCACTTTTCGCCATACACGGTAGAGCATGTCAATCGTGTGATAACCTGTCCGGAAAGCTTGTGTTCGACCAAATGGCGCTTATTCTTGGTGCTCGGTTCCTACTCGTCAAAAACGATATCCTCTTTGCTGTTTGCTTCAAAAACGAAGTCCAGCCGGGAAGCGGCCCTTTTGAACCGCTCGCTATCACGGCGCGCCTCTGATTGGTCAACATGTCCACTACCATTGACAAGGCTATGAGCAAGACGAAGCATTATTTTTCTACATCGTTCGTGTCCAACATGATGGCAGGTTTTGGCACACGTATATTACATGCTTCAAACTAAGGATTTTCCCGTTGACTGTGAATGCGACTTGTTAGCTTTGCCAGCGGCGCCGCACGCGGCGAAATAGGCATCGCGCGCGAAGGGTTCAAAAGGGCCTACACCCAGTTCAGCCTGCTTCCAGACGATCTGTGCGGGGCCCTGCATACGATCGCTAGATAGTCCCCCCCCTCCCCTGATTGCTGTCTCAATAAGGCCCTTCGAACTTTTGCATATCTACGATAGGCATAACATAAAGGTTCCTGCCAAGCATAACAAGTAGTTTATCCATAGTTCAAATTAAATTACGTAAGTTACGTTAAATAACTCCTGTAGACTAAGTTTGAGCAAATTTCAAAGTTTAAAAATATTGGACCATTAGAATAAAGTGGTCATTTTCGAACATGCCTGGTTTTGCTTCGAAGATGAAATAGCTACCTTTGCTCAGTACCTCTACTCCTGTTTTCCCACCTCAGAAATCCCTCCTTAAAAGACCACCGAACTGCAGTAAGCTCAAATTACTCCTATGAAAACTACGAGAATTACTCTATCGGACTATGTGTATATTATTCGCTAAAAATTTCTTTAGAAGTCGTTAATGGGATGTTTCACAGTCCCAATATATTTTCTGAAAAAACGTTTTTAGTAAACAGTTTCATATAAATCGATAACCCAATCTTCCTGACTTACACAGGATCAAAATTTTAGTCTGACTCATCTTCTTTGCTCTGGGTATCAGTTGCTGAAAATGCAACCTTGAAAGCGAAAAATAGGGAGTGGCTTGCTTTCAATTTCGCGGTTTGGCGGTCTTTTGAGGAGGGATTTTTGAGGTGGGCAAAATAGGAACAGTGCATTGTACTAAGTAGTGATATGATAAGAAGCTATTCATATTTAAAACGAAGTCAATCATGTTCGAAAATGGCCATTTTACTGAGGTGGTCCATTATTTGAAAACTTTGGATTGCTCAAACTTGGACCATAGAGGCTATCCGACATGCTCATTATTAGTATACTACTCGTATTGAATGTACTACCCCCTGCTAGGGCCTCTTTATCATGCTACAGTAAGTATACGATGACGAGTCAATATTTCATGTGCTTGTGTCGCATAATGGGGTTATGTGACAAACTATTTACGAATATCATGCTATCAGTGGGCGTACCCAAAACTTCCGTTTGGGGGGGGGGGGCAAAGACTTTTTTTTGATGAAGGTGAGCCGCGTCAGCCACGCACTCGCGCCACTGCATGTTATCATTGTTATCCTATTCGATTAGGATGTTTTCCCTTTTTCCTAATACGACCACCAGCTGTCGCATGCAACATCCCACGCTTTTGACGACTGTGGAAATAAAACACTATACTGTTCTGTTCTATATCTGCTGCAATGTAGCCAGATTTTTATTTCTTAAAATCAAAGGTAATAAGCAATTTGCGCAGACCCAGACTATAACAAATGATAGCAGTGGCACAGCTTCGAAGAAACTTGTGGCACATAGAGCATCATGTTACTGGAAAAATTGTCAGCGAGTTCGAGCCAGCATCAGACATTCTACTAGTAAGCGCTACCTGTGCAACTTATGACGCCTTGCATAACCGCAATGGAGGAGACTGTTATTCTCAACAGGGTGCATATGAGTAGCCTTACTCAAAAATTTGTGCTGAGAACATATTAGCTATTATGTTGCAAAAGTTACGAAAACGATATTTTTCTAAAGAGTTTCCGCACAATCTTTTTGGTACGGATACACGACCAAATTTCCAAGAAGTTGCATGTTCATTTAGGATTTTCTTACCCGCTCATGCCAAGATTCAAAGCACAAACACTGCTTTTTGTGAAACACTTCAACGGCATCATAGCACAAGCGAATATCCGCGGTGGAGGGTAGGTTGAGTAAAGCGGTTACATTATAAGCATAACCCCATATCAGTTTACGTGCATATCAGTTTTTGATGTAGTCGGCCAAATTTCGAGACTCAGCAAGCACAACATGAGACTCAGAGTTGCTAATCGTCGTGAGGAAGTCAATACTGTTTCTTTCTACAGTGCTGGACAAAATTATAGGTCCACTCTAAAAAATGCCATAACTCACTCCGTTGTCAATAAAATGTTCCGAAATTTGGTACAGCCGTGTGTTTACCAGCCTACTATCAGTCACCAAAATGGGTCTCGTTCTCGTTTGGTTATTCAAGAAAAAATTGAAATTTTGAAAAATGCAGGCTTGAAGGCTGGACAAAATCATAGGTTCACCTGGAGTTTTTACGGATTAAAGCACTTCTTAGCTCCCGAATTTTTTAAGGTAGGTACACATCTAAAAAAAGTTAAAAGCTGCTTTAGTCAAGCTGTGTCATACCTCCAAAAAGAACAGATTATCTGCTTTTTTGCCTTGAAAATGCTTTCACATGTATTTCGCTCCACAAATCTGCGTTGAGTAAGAAATTCTGCAGTTTTTCAGCTGGATCGGAAAGGACAGGGTTTCATCTACCTTCTGGATGCGTTTTGACATGAGCATTGAGGAAAAAATCCGACTTTTTGCTGCTGAAGCAAGTCCGACATCGATCAGTTGGAAGAGTAAGCCTCAGTTTCTGCTCTAAAACCCTTTATAATGTCATTATAACCTCAAGATTTTGTAGAAGCATTCTTTACACAAGAATAAAGCTGTTTGCTCTACTCGCAAGTGTTCACAAAGCTGCCGAGGGACCGTAGATTCGCCCGCAGGAACGATTACTTTTGGATTGGAGCAGGAATCCTCCGTAGAGCACCTTATCCTTCCAACGCTGATTTTGAGGATGCGCTTACCAAATAACTCAATGTTGCGTCTTGCAACTCTACTACTGCAACTCTAATCTCCGTATCAAGCTTGCCGAGCCACTTTCTTCCGGCGTCCAGGCAAATCTGCACAAATGGGTATCGCCAGCGGAAACTGATTTTGGGAAACCGCGCAGAGTTACAGCATAAGATGAGTTACTCAAGCTCTAGGTCTCCATTACTATCAGCATCAAGTACAAAATTCCTTACTAATGCGGTTTGAATTTGTACATGAAAGTTTAATTTGCTTTTTCCTTTTTTCTTTAGTAGATATCACTTTTTCGATCTGGACAACCGTCTCCTTTCAGCTTCATTGAATGCCTTGACTATTGGGGAGTCTACCTATGAGCGAAATTCTTGCAAAAAAGGTGGCACTGGGAAACTACGATTGTACCAGCTTCTTAACATCGTAGTTTGTCTCTGATTGTGAATGTTGCGCCCTGATCAGCGATTGATCGTCGTCTTCTTGCTGTGACTTCTCGAGAGCTGGCAAGATTTGTTCTTTTGTGCTTTTGTCAAAGTCTTTCAGCTCCGTAAAATTTGTACAGCCCTCTTCAAGAAGACATGAAGGCAAGAGAGTTATTAACGATAATACAATGTGCACAGTATTTGGGATGCGCTGTAGATTTTTATCACCATACATCATGCTGCTTGGACCTGAAAGGCTAATTCAAGTATCAGATGCACAGAACTTTCTCCTTTCCACTGAAAAATTGGAAAAATTGAAAAGCCTTCATGAAATTAATCTTTGTTCCACGTTTATCTGGCAGAGAGTTGATAATGCACACAACTTGCACAAATTTGTTGCCAATTTAAATATTCTCGGATAGATTTCTGTTGCCAAGCATGACATTTGAAGAAGTCCGCTAAAATGACAGACGCGGCAAGAGCGTCTGCAAAATAAGTGTTAGCCGTAAAGTGGCAAACATTTCGATGGCTTTGTTTGTGTAGAACATCCGAGCGCAAAAACCTCGATGCAACCTCGTCACCGCCTTGTTATATGAAAACCGAATGAGACGGGACCATCAAGATGCAACTGGGTCAAAATGGTGACCGGGGCTGAGTTTGCTGTAGACTACTTTTGACAGTGACCTCTAGCCAGTTGCTCTTTCCCCTTTAGTAAACTTGACAATAAACATTACAATAACTCTGATGCACTACACCTCACTTGAGAAACTAGACCTACAAGATGAACCTAAACTTCTTGGTCACACAAGAACACAGTGTAAAGAGCTAACATAGACTAAACTGGTACTGGAAAAAGGAGTTCCGTCAAATTCATAACTGCCTAGCAGAACGAGAGGCGATTGAGCGCTCTAAACACAATTCGTGCTCCAATGCAAAAGTAATCGTTCCTGCGGGCGAATCTACGGTCCCTCAAAGCTGCCTTGCCTCTTTCGAAACATGAGTTGTGTGTGCAACGTAATGATGGTGTTACGCAGATCCAAAGTAACTTGCCAAGTGCTACCTCACTCAAATTTGTGACAGTAATTATTTACTAGGTAGTGGATACAGCTTGTAGTGTATATTAGCACATGATTCTTCTGAAAATTTTGGTCGAAGCCACAAATAGCTTTGGTGCTTGTCGTAATCAGTTTCTGCAGGGTGATATCAGTAATTATACTCGAATGCTAGGATCTATAGAAAGTTGTAACCATGGAATACGGACTCCCCTTCGTAGAAACGATGCCTTTACTTTACTTAATGCTTCTGAGAACATTGTAAAAGAAGTTTGAAGGCAGAAATTTGGGCTCAGGATTGCAGTATTGTCAATGTCGGATTTGCTTCAGCATCAAAAAGTCGGATTATTTCCTCAATGCTCACGTCAAAAAGCATCCAGAAGGTAGATGAAACCCCGTCCTTTCCAATCCAGCTGAAAAACTGCAGAATTTCTTACTCAAGGCAGGTTTGTGGAGCGAAATACATGTGAAAGCATTTTCAAGGCAAAAAAGCAGATAATCAGTTCTTTTTGGAGGTATGACACAGCTTGATTGAATTTAACGTTTTTAGACGTCTACCTACCTAAAAAAATTAGGAAGCTAAGAAGTGCTTTAATCAGTAAAAACTCCGGGTGGACCTATAATTTTGTCCAGTTTCAAGCCTGCTTTTTTCAAAATTTTAAGTTTTTTCTTGAATAACCAAACGAAAACGAGACCCATTTTGATGACTGATAGTAGGCTGGTAAACACACGGCTAAATTTACCAAATTTCGGAACATTTTATTGACAACAGAGTGAGTTATGGCACTTTTTAGAGTGGACCTATAATTTTGTCCACTGTATGTCACTCATTGAGCCCATCGTTTTTCGTCGTACAAGAAGGATTCCTCAAATAATAACAAAGAACAGAAAAACAAAAAAAGAGCAGCATGCACTTGTTCTATTGAATTTTTCAGAGAGTATGGAGAAAGATGGCATGAGGCGGGAATTCGCGAACATAAACAAAATGTATTTGATGATTTTATTGCGGCTGCAGAGTATCTCATTTCCAACAACTACACAAACAACAAAAGGCAAGTTTTTTGTAGATGTTCAACTCTTTCAATGAGCCCATTGAAACAAGGCAAGTTTATTCTGCAGAAAGGTCTGCACTTTTTAATGCGGTAATGCGCTTGTCACATACCCTACATAGAGCCATGTACTTTGGTAACCTTCACTTTGAGCGCCATGACAGAGCGCAACCTTTACATAAATAAACAAAATTCATTTGGGGCGAAGCCCTGGATGTTATATCCTGACTATATCAGAATGAAAGTGATTGAGCAAATATAGAGGATGATATCTTTGAATTATCTCAGCGAAACCGCGAATTCGCGTTTTTATAGTCTTTTTTGAGCTAAATAGAAGCTTCCTGTGAACGTTTCCCCAAAATTCAGGACAACATTTCTCACTCAACCTCTTACTTGGCTAAAATTGAGTTTTAAAAGTTTAGGGAAGCTGTTGGAGTTGAATAAAAACGAGAGACTGCGCATCTTGCGCAGTGAGTCGCGCACGAAAATGCTGCTTAATCTCATCAATAAGTGATTTTCAATAATTTTGGACATTGTCAGTGTTCCTCATCGTGTCATGGTGATCAGAATGAGATATAATGTTGCAGGGTTTCGTTAGGTCCCCCGGAGATCCACAACTAGGGCCAAATGCCCCATTGGCTCTGGTCATGGTGTTTCCCCGCGCGTTGCGCGCTACCTCGCTACCCTAAAAGCCAGGCATGGGGCATTTGGCTCTGCTACTCGTTGTTCTGAACCCGATTCTAGCAATCTATAAGTCATATTAATGCCCTTGATCTCTACTTTCACGCTGACAACGTCCCAAAACCATAAATATTGATTTGAACGAAAAAACCGGCAAAAATCGTGTCCTCAAGAATTTCTTGTTTTTCCACTATCTATTATAGTTTCACTCTTTTCACGCCCCTTTTTCGTGAATTCTAGATCTCGCTTCTTTCATAATGTAGAAACGATCCAACGCATACCTTTTCGATTATGGTGAGACATTTTGCAACTTGGGTAATTGAAGATTTGTTATCCATCCTATTTGTGTTTTGTTATCCATCCTTTATTTTCTTTCCCTGTGGCTGGGAAGCTAGTTCATGTGTTGTGTTTTTGTTTGAACTTTCTGTTTGATCTTTTTCCTTTTGATGCACCTTGAATGTAGTTATAAAATATAAAATATAAAGATCAGAAAAATGAGCGCAACAATTTAGACACCATACAAAGCAGGAACGACAATGCAAGGTAAAAATCTAATGGACGCATCGAAAATTAGGTTGGCTTTGACGTGCATTTTGGCTTCTTCTCTCGTTTTCTCTTGATAATCGTTATTTCCAAAACATGCTTGTTTTTGGGATAAACACGAAGAAAAAATTGGCTTCACAGTGCAGTAAATCGTGACCAAATTAGGAAAAATGAGAAACTACTCAACACAGTAATTTACATCCATTAGAAAGTCACATCACGAAGCTCTGGAGGTGGAGAGGAGAAAGTAGGGGTTGTTCAAATAGGTGTGTAAGGGGGAGCAACGTGTGTCTGACCTCGCCTGTCTCATCACTCCCACATATAGGTCGGAACTACATTTGGCAGAGCAACTAAGCTCTACAAGAGGGTGTTCAAGCATTCGCAAAAATATTTATTTGATTCGCGTTTGAATTCAAAAACTAAAAAGATCCAAACGATCGAAACACTGGGAATAGGAACTCGTTTTAAAGGAATCTTACGGATCTCCTTCTCGCTCACGCATTACTCTGCCTTACATTACTCTCCATCAGATAGTTACCCATACGATTTATGTAATCTTCCCTCGAACAAATTGAGGGAACCAAGACTTTTACACTTTCGCCAGAGCAACGGTAAGCTGTTCACATCAACGATTGCATGAAAGCTCTCAAAAAGACCACGGGTTGTGGAAACATGGGTTTTCATGGATCATAGGTTTGTTCAGCGTGGGAACAGCTCAGCACTGCTTTGGCAAAGATATGAAAAATCCAGTTTTTCCACTAAGCGAGGAAGAAAAATAGCGACTGCATACATGAATGCTTGATGTGGGGAGTAGATGCGTGAGAGAGTATAACAGATCAGTGTTATCATTGGATCAAATTCCAATCGATTTTTCGGTTACCTGAATTTTTCTAGTGGTATCAAACTTTCTGCGGATCAAATCTGATAGTTTGGAGAACACCTTGTAAAAGTAAAAGTTACATTGTCTATTGAATGGTTGCCCAGAACCTGTGAAAAGCTTATGATTTATTGCTGTTCAAATTGTTTAGTAAGACCTATGCATCAGTTCAACAATGATGCTAATCACTTCAGACTGGCTATCACTGGGGTGTCAAATGGAGGATTGCTGGTGGCAGTATGCGCACAACAACGACCTGATCTTTATGGTGCCATAGTGGGCGATGTGGGGTACGTGCACTCAAAGTACCCTCTTTCAATACTTTACCTAACGCAGGTAGAAACGTTAGAAATTTTGACAGATCCTATGAGGGTACTCAAACTTGCTCGGTCCCAGTTGATTTTTGCGCCTACTTTTGCCACCCCGCGCTGATATAAAGATATATTAGGCTATAAGGCTTCGTGTGAAGAACCGATTGCCTGCAATAAACGTGCCTGATTAAAGGGAAACTCGGTGACCGTGGCCATTCGTGATAAGACACATATGTTTATGTTTATGTATTACGCACAAGGCGTGCCATAACCAGAACAAAACACGAGAACATAACCAGGAACAAATACAAAGAACAAAACAAAAAACATCCAATAAGTTAGCTCAAGTCCAATCGCCAAATGGTTCAGAAGAAAATAGGGAATTGAGCTTGTATAGACCATGTATGAAATAATCACTCGAAAATAATGGAGTAAAGACTCAGTGGAGTCTGTCCCATGCCCCCTGCTTCCCCGGAAAGGCGATCTTTACTATTCCGTATAAGCAATTTGGAAAATAGGGAAAGCTGTATATATGGAAATCCCGCACAACCAGTTTCTTCGGAGAAGCACTGTGTACGTATAGTGTGTGCTCCCGCAGCTTCCCATAGGTACCGCCGCAGTTGGCGCATATGCAACGTGTGCGCTCAGCCTGACGCTTCTCGTTTCAATTAGGAACAAAAGAACGTAAGAGTAGGAGTAAAATGAAAAGCCGAAACCAGCAATTCCAGCTTGAGAAGTAGGCAAGGAGAAAAGTCTGCAAATCCCATCAGCGCGCAGATTTTACTTAGTTCCTGCACGCTAGTATGAAATTACCAGCGATTGAAAATCTAGAAGAAACAAAAAGTCGAGGACCACTTTTGAAACGTTATCTTCTGTGGTCATAAAAGTTAAAAAGCGTAAGACCCTGAGGATACCTCATGCGGTTCGGTCGCGAAGCGATTTGGCAATACTCTACTGGTTCATAACTTATCGTAAAGATTTCTGAATGTATAAAAGATAAGGAATGCTATCAACCTACAAAAGTTATACATGCTGCGCATTTGGGGTATGCAAGTATCAAATTTGATGACTTCTGGCAAATTGCCAAATCGCTTGGCGACCGAAATCGCCTGAGGTATGCCCATGGCTTAACCTCAAGAATACATTTGTACAAGCAGAACCCTAATATAACGAAAAAACAAGAAGCAATCGTACACTACATCAGTCGGATAAACACGCTCATTTCAAAATAAAAACCTTTGAATAAACATTCTAAAACATACTAGAATCTTCACTATTGAGAAAAAATGTGGAATCCTAGAGACAGAAGCTCACAAAACTGTTTAAGGCTCGTAAAAACCCATCAGCTGTTGTGGTGAGTCGTCTATACCTGAAATAGGCGACCACAAGCAGAAAAAAATCAGTCAAGAGAGAAAAGCATAAAAAATTTTCCTTAGTTAGAGGCAGAAACGAAAGGCGCACTAAAGGCATGCATTGCGGGCGCGTCGCGGAGTTACTTATGAAATTGGTCGAGGTACACACTATATCACTAAATGCGTCTCGCTAATTACAAATCTGCTTTCGCTATTTGCTGATCGATTGTCCGGAGTAAGTTATGAACTTTTCCTGCATATTTCGTGCATGTCAAAGCATAGTCAAAATCATTGATCGCATTTTTTTTTGAAGAAACACGCAATTGAGACCGTTTATCCAAATTCAAAGTAATTGCGTCCCTCTTCAAATTTTGTTGGAGCGAAATAAGAAATTTCAGCAGTGCTCATAGTTTTGCTTAACGGTAGCAATGCAAATTCTTATGAAAAAAAAACGCTCAGGGACCGTTCAAACCGCGCCGGTACCCGTCCAAATCCGCCTAAGTACATCCGAATCCGCCCAAATACGTCCGAATACGCCCAAATACGTCCGAATACGCCCAAACTCGCCTGAACGCCGGAACTGCCAAAACGCAGCAGATATGCGTGTAAATTGGCATATTGGAACACACGTTGAATACTGCGCGCGTGGTGCAAATATCTCTTAGTTACAAGTAGCTCGAAGCATATTTGGCGCTTTGGCAGTTCCGGCGTTCAGGCGGTTCGGACGGATTTGGACGTACTTGGATGGACTCGGACGTATTTGGGCGGGTTCGGACTTGGGTGGGTTCAGGCGCAGTATGGACGATCCCTCAGGACATACTTCCGACAATAGCTTAGCAAATACAGAAGGAAGATTTGACATCAGCGTTTCAAGACGCATCTTTACGCATTTCATTAGGAATGGCCGTCACCAAGTATCCTTCCCTTGTTGAGCTTCACCTATTTTTGCACAGGATGTTATGTTATTGTTCTTGTTTAACGAGCTATTCCCTTAAACATTTTTGATATGAAATGTTGTTTCTTTGTGAACGCTTTAAAACCTGGAAAGGTAAGAAAAAAGGTAATTCGCTCAGCAAATAGGCTCAAGATCTAATTACCAGGCATAAAGTTGAAATTAGAAACATTTGGTGTAATAAGTAAATCAAGGAAAGAGCACAAAAAACTTATTATTTTTTGAAATTTCATTGGCTGAAACTGAACAAAAACCATGGCAGTACTATTGACTCAATTGAGAAAAAGCAATTTCAGAGTGTACGACATGCTACGCTATCACAAATTTACTATAGGAGCAATGTGCATAGACGAGTTCGGTAATCCAGATAAGGCAGAAGATTTCAAATTTATATACAAGTTGGTAACATAAGCAAGGTGTTTTTCTGGTACAACGTTTGTTAAGCTACTCCCCGCTGCATAACATTCGTTATCCCAAACGTGGACAGTGGCCTTCAACATTGATGATGACTGCAGATCATGACGATCGTGCAGTGCCTAGCCATACTCTTAAATATGCTGCAACTCTCTATGATACTGTAAGTAGCTTTCTAGGGGAAGTCGGCATGATAACTAATGAGTGCAGGTGAAAGTCCACCCACAGCAAACCAATCCGCTTCTATTCCGCATCGAGCATGATGCTGGCCATGGATTTGGAAAACCGTTAAACAAGCAAGTAAGTAGACCATTTGTTAAAGGCAGCGTCCAGGCAGATTTGGACATATGGGGCTCTAACGTGGAAACAATTTTCGGGGGTCTAACTAAGATACTGCCCAAGCGGCAGCGCAAACGGTGCAGTCGCGGCTGAGAAATTCGTCCGCAAACCAGCCCCCGTGACCGTATTCGCATGGATTCATGGCTCAGCACATCAGTTTCGCGTGGGTCCTAGCGCGAAAGCGCCACGAACCCATGCGGATACGGTCACGGGGGCTGGTTTGCTGACGAATTTCTCAGCCGCGACAGCACCGTTTGCGCTGCCGCTTGGGCAGTATCTTAGTTAGGCCCCCGAAAATTGTTTCCACGTTAGAGCCCCATACGTCCAAATCTGCCTGGACGCTGCCTTTAACCTTAATTTCTTACTGATCAATTGCCTGTTTAGATAGCTGCAACAGTTGATGTATTCAGCTTTCTTCAAAGAGTGTTGAAACTTGAGTGGAAGAACTAACTCATAATAAATGATGTTACAGTATGATGCAGCACAATGCTACAGTTGTAATTTTAGACAAACACAAACACATACGTAATATGTCCATATGTAATCTACTAATGATCCCGGATAAGTCTGGATGTGAGAGACCTGTTCTGTAGATAATGATAAACTTCTGAACGCACAGCGAAGAGTCCCTTTTGCATCACTCACTTTTTCCACTTGCCACACCACCTCATCTTGGGTGCTTCCTCTTCTCAGTCAATTCTCAGCAGCCACTGCCCTTTTGCGTTAGCAAATCTCCACAGCTCCATAACCTCCCTCCCTCCCTTTAATACTAGACCCCTAGCATCCTCATCCTCATCCCAAATTACTATATATTAGGTCATTTCAAAAGTTCGTTCGCATTGTTCTCAAAAAATCGTAGCTCTCTGCTATCTGCCTAGTTTCGCCTGGGATAATTTTTCCTAAAATAAAGAGATCATGTAGTTTCTGATAATGGCTTGAATTAGTTCTACCAAGCACAAGTGGCAGAGTTAAAGATACGAAAAGAGGACCACTCAAATTTTGCTAATTTTAGAAAAGCTCACCAAAAATCCTGGAACGTTACGAAAAATACCGAAAGAAACACAAGCATATGTTTTATGTTCTCATCTTTCTATCCAGGCAAATTCCTTGTCGAACGACTGTTCCTATGAAAAGTAATGATTTTTTTAGAAATTGTTATACGTTTCCATGAAAATCAAGATTGATCTCCCTTGGTACAAAAATCTCCTAACTAGAGAGAGAAGGTCACAAAACCCCTGTTCTTGGCTTTCTCGCCTTTTTTGTGACATTTTTGGGCTTTTTTGAGCATGCTCAAAAATTGCAAAACTGAAATATTTTTCTTTATTTGCTTATAACTTTCGATCTTTTTCGTTCTAACTCATGGGAAAGGTGCTGTTGTAATGGGCATAATTTTCTCTATCGAACAATAATACTTCCGGGATTTTTCGTGATCCAACTTAAAAAATGACATTCTTGAGTAAATTCATTCAATTGCTTCTAATTCTTGAACTTTCTCACGCCATTTCATGGCAAAGACACAATTGTAAAGAGAAAGGTTTCTTCTTTCAAACAAAGATAAAAGCGAGAAATTCCACCAAGAAGGAAGGAAGTTTTGATGTTTTGAAAAACTGGCGAACGAACTTTTGAAATGACCTAATACTTGGGTAACTCGAAAATTTTTCATCGAATGAAGGAATATCGAATAATTTCGCAGAGGAAAAATTTCAAATAAACGAATATCGAGTAAATTCGAGGTTCAAAATTTCGAATGAATGAGTTCCGAATAAATTCGGAAAATCAAAAATATCGAATGAATGAATATCGAATATATTCGAACATTGGAAGCCGAATTTCGAATAAATATTCGGATGATTTATCGAATAACTAGAGCAACCATATTCTCAGATTGCTGACATATCTGGCTGAAGCCGATCCATTCATAAAAGCACCCTCGTATCCCCTATACCAACTCCTAGCTCAAAATTTTCCGAAATGAAATCGATAAAATAGATTCCGGTTTAAATCAGCATCCTCATTTACCCCCACACCCCCCCCCCCCCTGTACTAACTCCCAACCTCATAGCTCAAGATTTTCCAAAAATCGACAAAATCGATAAAGTAAATTTTCATCCATATCAGCACCCTCACTTACCCCCTTGTACCAACTCCCAGCCCCGCAACAGCGGTGGCCACATATGTACTTGAATGCCACATATGCTACGATACAATGCCTGTTCATCGGAGACTTTCGTCTTGTGTGGTATAAGCTTGTCGTGGACGAAGGCATGTGGTTTTCCGCGAAGCGAGCGCGATTGCCCCTAGACCTGGGCATACTGCAGGCATTTCAGTGGCGACGTTTGGCAATAGTCATGTCCAAACTTATTCTAAAAGTACAGAATGCAAAGCATTTACCTTTTTAGTAAGTTCTACACGCTAAACATTTGTGGTAAGCTGGCGTTGAATACGTCTCGTGACTGGCAAATCGCGTACGGCAATCTGAACCGTCTAATCTTCCACTACAACTGCGATGTTCTTTACTCAAAATACACCAATTCGCAAAAAAAAACTCTAGGGTAGCGAATAGAAGCAGTTGTGCAATATAAATTATGCGAGCAAGAGTGCTCACTAGTGTGGGCTTTGCGTACCACAAGCATGGGCAATCCAAAGGAAGAAAAACAGGCATTTAAAAACACTTTCAATATATGAACTCGGAACATGAGCTTGAATTTGATAGCTTCTTTACTGATTTGGTGCCAATAGCAGTGCGAACACTCTCATTGATCGAAAAAGCATCAATCAAAATCCACATATGATTTTTTTTTACTGTCAAGCAGTCTGAAGAATGCGACCCTCCATACAGTTTGAAGGTCATAACGGTTGCAAAAGATGCATTACCAAGTTTTGCGAAAAAAAAAACGCGGACGAAATGAGCTTAATACTTAGCAGTTGGCTCTGCAACAAAGTCGAGTAATTTGAATACGGAGTTCATTCGAATACGAATTCGAATAAACATTCGAATAAAACATTAGAATAAAATCTATTCGAAACCTCGTTTTTTGTTTTAACATTCGAGTTTTCGAATAATATTCGAATCCTCGTTTTTTGATTATTCGAGTTTTCGAAAAATATTCGAATCCTCGTTTTTTGATTATTCGAGTTTCGAATTTTATTCGAAACCCCGTTTACTCAATTATTCGAGTTTCGAATATTATTCGAAAATGGAAGAACTCCGAATATCGAATTTCGAATACGAATATATTCGAATGTTTTTTTTCGAATGATCGAATTTCTATTCGATTCGGATCCAAGTATAGTTTACAATAAAATAAAGAGGTGCTTTGATAGTAAGTGTTAAGAAATTACTTTCCTCAAAAGGGCCAAATCGATGAATCATTAGAGGGAGCCTGCCTTCGCACAGAAGTTCCATAGCAAACGGGAACACATTCAACAATTTTATGTTATTCTATGACGTTTGCCACACAGATCTTATTTATAAAGCTGAATGTCTGTTTGTCTGTATGTCTGTCTGTCTGTATGTATGTGTGTACGTATGTTCCGAATAGAAAATTCCATTTCTGAACCGATCTGGACCAAACTTGGCACACATACACTTCGGGCCCCGGCGGGTGTCGTAGGCTACTTTTCGTCATCGATCGATATCGATTTTATCGATTTTTATCGATTTTTTTTGCTGAGTTCACCTACGGGGCTGGGAGTTTGCACAGGGGGGTAATCGAGCATGGGGATTCCGAATACAATATTGGTTTTCAGGATTATCGATTACTTTTATCGATTTTATCGATTTTTTTGCAAAGTTTGAGCTACGGGGCTGGGAGTTGGCACAGGGGGGTAATCGAGCATGGGGATTCCGAATACAATATTGGTTTTCGGGATTATCGATTACTTTTATCGATTTTATCGATTTTTTTGCAAAGTTTGAGCTAGGGGGCTGGGAGTTGGCACAGGGGGGTAATCGAGCATGGGGATTCCGAATACAATATTGGTTTTCAGGATTATCGATTACTTTTATCGATTTTATCGATTTTTTTGCAAAGTTTGAGCTACGGGGCTGGGAGTTGGCACAGGGGGGTAATCGAGCATGCTGATCATCCCCAAGGGGGGTGATCAGCATGCTCGATTCAAATTTTCAAAAAATCGATAAAATCGATAAAAGTAATGGACGATCCTGAAAACTAATATTGTGTTCGTAATCAGCATGCTCGATTACCCCCCTGTGCAAAATCCCAGCCCCGTAGCTCAAACTTTACAAAAAAATCGGTAAAATCGATAAAAGTAATGGACGATCCTGAAAACTAATATTGTGTTCGTAATCAGCATGCTCGATTACCCCCCTGTGCAAAATCCCAGCCTCGCATGTCAAACTTTGCAAAAAAATCGATAAAATCAATAAAAGTAATCGATGATTCTGAAAACTAATATTGTATTCGGAATCCCCATGCTCACTTCCCCCCCTGTGCCAACTCCTAGCCCTGTAGGTGAACTCTGCAAAAAAATCGATAAAAATCGGTAAAATCGACATCGATCGATAACGAAAAGTGGACTGTCACACCCGCCGGGGCCCGAAGTGTATGTGTGCCAAGTTTGGTCCGGATACGGCGGAGCCGGGTAAGCCAGCTATTTGCTATAAGCTTTACTTGTTCAACCTGACCTTTAGCCTTCCACAGAGGCCTAAAGATAGTCTGCCTCAGTAATTGTTTGCTGCTTTATACAAAGTCCTTCTACATTGCTTCATGCTTGTTGAGTGGAAGGTACTGAGTTTTCCTGCTACGGCAATTCACCAATGTCAGCAACACCGCTCACTAACGATCCGCCCATGGATGACAAATGACTGAACTGTCCAACTAAAGCTGTACTGACCACTTAAAACGAATCGAATGAAGCAAGTGGAGGAGAGCTTCGTATAGAACAGCAAATAGATACCGAACAAGATTATGCGGCATGCGGATATGACAGTTGAAAAGAGGAAGAAAAGCTGCTAGGGTAGTGCTTAGAGCTTTTCCTCATCTTTATTCCACGTGTTTTTATGACAGAGCGAAGAAACGGAAAGAACTTTCGGAACGACCCAATACCATTTTGCAGCTCTTGACCTGCAAATATGCCAACGTCGCTAAAATCCACTTTCTGATTTGGACGAAAAATCTGGCAGGAGCCGTTTTTTTTTCAGAATGCTCTTGTTTATTCTTCATTTCAAGCGTTTTTTGTGCATTCGATAAACCTTGCTTTTGTCTTATTTATTTATTTAACTATAAAGTCGACATCCAAATAACTCTAGACGAGGATGATCTATAATTTCAGCGGTCGACCAAAATCTTAGACATCTTCCGAAAACAATACCCCCTGTTCAGGGGGCCAGCGAGCCCGCCTGCAAAGGCTAGCTGGCCATAACCCCGGAAGAAAAATAGAGGTTTTAGAGGTTTTCGAAAGGACAATAAGACATTAAAAAAAGGGAA